GTAAACAATATGTTTTTTTTTGCTCCTGTTGGAAAAATTATAAATATCAGAAAAACGAACTGTTCATAAATAAAAATCATGAAATTATGTTTTTATTCATGATTCAATGAATATGAAAACATTATTATACAAAGGAAACAATGTTTTAAAACTAAAAGCAGGTAAATATTAAATATTAAATTATTTTTAAACTTTCATCCTGATTCATCAACATTAATCCCAGTTTTAGGTCTCACTCGTCTTCGTCCCTACGTCCCTCCACATCTGCACCACGGCATCCCGCCAAAATAAAGCTACAAAAAGAAACAGTGGCAGCCAGCAGTAGGGGGCGGGAGTTCTGTCTGACCTGCTCCACTTCCTGGTTTGTGACATCAGCGCTGATGTCAGAGCGAGAGTCGAAGCTCAGGTAGCTCCACCTCTTCGYGCTGTCTCTGCGACACCGACCTGCAGACAGCAAAACAAAAAATAAAAATAATWATTTTTACAGCAGCGGTCTCCAAACACTGGCCCGCGGGCTGGAAGCGACCGTCCAACATGGATTCTGTTTCTGATCCCGTTTTCGTCACTTCCTACCGGTGCAGGCACTGAAATAGGAGGAGTCTGCGTCGTCGTGCGAGACGGAGCGTCCGATGTCCACCGAGGGGTCCCACTCCAGCCCCAGGTGCTCATGGGTCGGAAAGGCCGGAGGGGGAGGAGCCTGAGGATGTGCAGGTCGACGTGAGAGGAGGGCTGCAGGTTTTCCTCTGACGTCTCTGGGAAACGCTTTTACTTTTTCACTCTGATCGAAGATATCCAGAGGAGACATCTGAGGGGACGGTTTACGGTTTGGAGCCGAGGACAGGTCCAGGATGCACTTCTCAAACACGTCCTCGTCCTCATGCAGAGTCTCAGAGGGACAGCCGGAGTCCGAGGTCCGGGACAGAATCCAGTCGTCCTCAAACACCTGCAGGGACAGGAGACATCTGATCAGCGGGGCTGGTTTTGGGTCGAAGTCCGGTGGTTCTGCGTGGGTTCTGGTACCAGTCTCATGCTGAGGAGGCGCGTGTGTGTGCGGGCGATGCTGCTGTAGACGTGGCTGCAGCGCCGCAGCAGCTCCAGCAGGCGGCTCTCCACGTGACGAGAGTCGGACGGTTCGCTGCGCTGGATCAGCAGCTCGCCGCGCTGCAGCAGGGCGTTCACACGACCCGAGTTCTCACACACCGACTGCTGGAAGGACTGCACACACACACACACACACACACGGTTTATGACGGGTTCTTAACCTTTTTGACCTCGGGCCCAGTTTATTGAACATAAAGTGACACGAGGCCCAGTCAGACATTACCATACAGATCAAAATGATTATTATTCTAAATCTTGGTTTAATTTTTATTGTATTTACATTATAACTAAATTAAATATACTTACATTTTAAAAGTAAAACTCCTGTCAAATAATCACAAGACATGATTATAACAGTTTTTTATATTGTAACCTGCCCAGGCCAGAACAATTATTTGAACAAATACAAA